GATATAAATAAAATGCGAGCCCAGCTCTCAAGAATAAAAATGTTACAATTAGTATGTAAAAGAAGGTTTAGAATACTATGAAGATAAATCTTTCTGGAAGTTGTTACTGGAAAAATCATTTCTAGAAGAGAGAGTAATGTGATTCTCAGATGGCAAGTTGGCTGTATCAGAGATGGGAGTGTTTGAAGGTGATATGGGAAATTATGTTTGGGTCAAATCTGGGGGATCTTCATTTGACATTGTAAGAACTTTTTACTTCATTCAGAAGGCTTGGGATGTCTTATAGAGGTTGGCATTAAAAGATTTCAAGAAAGAAAATGACATGATTAGATTATGTTTTGAAAAGATCATTTAAGCAAGTGATCGGAGGATAGACTAGAGTGGGTGAAGACCATTTGGGAAACGAGACTTTTGCAACTAACTTCTTTGAAAAGTATGGAGGTCAAAGTAATATAGAAAACTAATTTCTCTGAAAACTTTGCCATTCATGAGAAAGAGAAGGCAGGAATGAAGAATTATTCTAACAAGAATAGGGAGGAGCTTGTGTGGAAGAGGGATGAGATGAGTTATTTTGTATATGTTGACTTTGAGGTGCCTGAGGAATATTTCAGCACAGACATTTAGGTACGCAGATCAGGAGAGCTGCTTGTTTTTTTATAACCTATTCAAATACTTCTTTTGTTCCTGTCCTTCCTTATTTTTTCCTAAAAAAAAAAAAAGAAAAAATTTCCATTTCTAAATTCCCTAATCACTTCTTATATAATATTTCATGTTTTTTTTTATTACTGCTGCTATTATTTTTCAGCTGTCTCAGTTTGAAAGTTTATGATTGAGAGTGGAGAATATATCATATATATGTCTTTGATTTGACCAACATGATGATTTGCACACAGTTCATATATATACTAAATATTTTTGAACTAATGAATAAAATAATGGCAAACTAGTATTTGTTTTTTCCTATAACCCACAGAGATGTTTAACATTGTGTGCTAATTCAATGATAAATATTATCCTTTAAAAATGTTTATTGATTTATTTTTGAGACAAAGTCTCACTTTATTGCCCAGACTGGTTTTGAGCTTCTACACTCAAGTAATAAGACTGGTCTCAAATGATCCCCCCAAACAGTCCCCTAAATGCTGGGACTATAGGTACTGGCCACCACTTCTGGCCTAATACCTTTTTTTGAGTAGCTATTATTTATTAATCTTTCTAAGTTCTTGATGATATACCAAAAATATGGCTGTGATATGCTACTATTGAAATTTTAATGAATCTGAATTTTAGGTGAATCAACAGTTAGGATTTGACCCAAGCTCTCTCTGTAAAGCTAATGTGCTTTCCTCTATCCTGGCATTTGAACTAGGCCAGGCCATGGTTCATCTTACATTAAATGACAAAATTCCTCAGGGTTTAGTGCTCAGATAAACAATATTTCCCTTAAACTTGGAAATTTATTCACAGTTTTCTAAAGCATTAAATTAAGTTTACTTCTTTTTTCTTTTTTAATTACAGAAGTGTTACATGGCTATTATATGATAATGTAGAAGTTAATGAAGAGAATTTCTCCTTCCACATTTCATTCCCTGAAGATAACCACTTTAATAACTTCCTTTGTATAGAATCAGACTTTTTCTGTACATACATTCACATATACAGTGTGAATTTCATTTATAAATAAAAGAATGTAAAATATTAACATGGTATTTTTTTTACATTATAATGTTTTATCCATGTTCAGACATAGTGATCCACTTAATTTTTGTAAGAATAAAATTGTATTCTATTTGTATCTGTACCATGGTCTCCATATTTTCTTTAGGCTGATCCTATTATTTCAATAGTACAAGTCACACTATATCATGAAAACACAGCTTTCTAGGGAGAAGATTTCTGAACCATCCTTAGAATGTTCAGTATCTTTTTCATGCAGTGTCTCTTATTATAAGTTGTTCTTGTTTTCTTCTCTGTAAATTGCCTGTCTTTTGCTGCTTTTCAACAAGGTTGCTTAATTTTTCCCCCTAATACATGACAACAGCACAGTCTTTAGTTTCCCATCTTATTGATTTCCCAGCTCACATATATAAGACAAGTATACATATATGACAGATTTTAGAAATTTATTATTTTATTGTCAATGTGCAACAGCTAACTAAAAAGTCAGACTCTCAAAATGTATTATAGGATATTATATATAAAGAAAATAATATATCCATCTATAAAGATAGATGATAAAAAAGAACAATATTTTGAAAATGCATCTTAAGTACTCTGATTCTGCCAATACACTTAGACACTTTTTAGGGGGTCCTTGTTGCACGCCATTTCTTTCTCCATCATCCTCCATCTCTGTCCTGGACTTTGTGTTTTATCATCTTCATTATAGTTTCACTGATGTGTATGTATTCCTGATAACAACCCTAATATTTTGGAAGTTTTTCATTTATGTAATTGAAATTATTTTGTATGTATTCAAAGGCCAAATTGTTTCCCACTAGCAGTCTATGAATGCTTATTGTTATTAACATTTGGTGTAGTTAGGAATTTTGAGTCTTTGCTATTAATATCTCTCCATTTATTTTATTGATTTAGGGAGATTGGTCCTACCACAAACTTTCAAAATTATATTTGGAAATAATTATGTGTTCTTACTCTGACCTTTGCCTTTTCTTCTCTCTTTTTTTTTTTTGTTTTTACTTTCCTTTCCTTCTACTGTTCATTTTTCTTTCCTTTCTTCTTTAGAAGCAGCAATGATTAAGAACCTAGTCCCTGGAGCCAGATTACCTAGAATCAAATCTCAGCTCTGACATTTACTCAAGACCTGAACTTGGGCATATCCCCACTCTGCAGTAGTATCTTCTTTGTTGACAGGGGGTGATGACTATCTATATTCATAGTGTTGAAAGGATTATACATGAGATAATTCACTGATGTGTGAAATGCTAAGAGCAAGCTGGGTATTGTGGCTCACACCTGGAATTCCAGCACTCAGGAAACTGAGGCAGAAGGATCTTGAGTTTGAGGACAGCATGAGCTACATAGCAAGGCCCTATCTCAAAAAACAATGTGAAATGCTAGGAATGGTGCCTAGCAGATAAAGTGGTAATTAGTTAATAAAAGCTCCTTTCTCTTAAAGCTCCTTCCATGTCTGCATGTCTTTTACCTATAAGTATAGGGCACCCATTGGCTCTTTAGGAACTCTGTCTTTTTAAAGTAGGGAAGGATTTCAATGTTATGAGTGGATCTACTGAGGGAAGCTTGTGACTGTGCACATCTTACTGGAATGAAATCTTCTGGTATGCATGTTGTTCTCCCATGGGAATCACCTTTGCTAAGACAAAGAATGAGTGTTACAGAAGTAGCATCAATTATCTGTTGGAGCCACTACAAATGCAGTGTGGGACAAATTTGGTAAGATTACTGCTTTTTGGGTTTTAATGTTTAGTGGGAGAGACCATCATTAAACAATTCTTAAACATAATTGTGTATTCTGAAGAGCTATGAGGGCATAAAATGGAAAGGCCTAACTGTAGTTTGGGAAGTCAGGAATTCTCTCTGGAGGAAAGTTCTCGTCTGGAAGTTGTTCTCCCTCATATATGGAGGACAATATGAGTCAAGGATACAATTCATACACATCTCTTCCAGCATTTGGTATATACAGTACAAGCATACCACAACAATGATCGTTCTTTTCTTCCACTCTTATTTAATTATCTAGAGTGGTCTTCCAGTCTTACTTCCAGCAAACTTGATTGCATCATGTACTATCTTACAGTGCATCATGCTCATTGTCATGTCATAAAACTATGTTCTGTGGTTTTTATAGTTTATGCCACACTTAACCATAGTCTATGTAATCTCATTAATTTGTGTGAATTCTTTCCATACCGTATCACACCTGGTCATTGACTTTGACGCGTATAGTTTTGTTCCTCTCTCTGTTCCTGTGGGTCCTCAGTCAGGCTTTCTGGGTAACTTTTGTTCCTGCTTAGCTAGAATTACAATCTATTCACTGTTTCTCCAACTATTTGTTACTGACAGGTTAATTGAAAAATTCTATTTTCTTTATCTCAACCTTATAGTATTGTCCAAGAATTTTATTGTTAGAGTATTTTATCCATTATTTTTGTACTAAATATCTATTATGTATTTCTATGAAATATGTTTAATCTGATATTGTGAAAACCAAAAATAATTTTTCCAAAAAAAACACAAGTTGAGGGAAGTTTTCAGCAAGAAAGATGTAAATGTCTAGGCATTTCCCCCACTTTATTCATGTAACAAATGAAGTGCTTAATGTGTTCCAACCAGGGTTCTCAGAGAAAAATTACTGTGCAGTCCATTGTAGGTGGCCTAAGCAGTATCATTTTGTTAAGTGGGAATGGAAGGGAGTGTAACATTGACATAAACAAGGTGGATGGCAAATCTCTCCTTGCTATAAGTCACTAAAATATAAGAATCAAGTTTCTTATGTCTTTATAAGCTAAATGGTTCTTCCTGTTGCCTTCTTTAACTTAAATAGACTTATTGAGAATTCTAGTCAGAACAGCCATTCTGTGATAGATATATTTTAATTAGATGGAATTCATTTAAACTAAGTTAAGTATGTAAGCATTTGAGTTTGCGTGGTGCATGTGGAGTGGCGTTTAATTGGTAAGTTCAAATAATTATGTTTTTAAAATAATGACAAAATAACACATTGCTTTTTTTATTTTCCAATAAAAATTACTGGTAAATTAATTAGTTGCAAAATAGGTGATTATAAAAATTAAAAAGTAAAGTTGTTGAAAGCCCATGGCTTCTCAGAGAAAGGTTACTTTCAAAACAAAGCTCATGATTTTTGAAATGATTTTTTTAATTTAGTATTTTAACTTTATTAAAAATGACATTTCAGTTTTAGTAATCATTTAAGAAGTAATTAAAGTTAAGGTTAACAGGTTGACTTGCTTTAGAATTATATTAGATACTAATGAAATACTTTTAAAACATTTTTTTAGTGCTGCTGATGCATTTAGAAAAAAGGAGAATGATGCAGCTATTACAATTCAGAGCTGGTTTCGAGGATGTAAAGTTCGGGCATATATCAGGTATTGATTTTGTCATGTAAACTTCAGCTGTCTAATAAAAATGTATTCCTCAGAAAATGTAATTTGTTCATGTAGTGTTTATTTCAAATAATCTCTTATTTTACTCAGGCTGAAGTTACTCAATTTTATATTGTCCTTTAAAAAGAAATAATATTTCTAATCTTTTCTTACCAAAAATGTAAATTATATTGGCCTTATCTCTACTTTTAGCAATTCTCAATATTATAAGCATACTTGATCAAATTATTTTCCCCAAATTCAACAGGAGGTGACAAATGATTGGCTCTGTCTTTATAGCAATGAATTCATTCACATGTAAGAAAAGTGGAGGTACAGGAGAAAGCTATTCTGAACTTCTCCAGCATGTTGGTAGATAAAAATAAATGATGCTCAAATGATGTCATTCTGGCTACGCAAAGAGACAGATTTATCCTTGTATTGATTCTTTATGCTTTTTCTTCTGTACGCAAACATTCCCTTAGTTTTCCTTTAATTCTGAAAATAATATTGTCCTGGAAAACAGTGGAAGAATATGCCTAGTTCAAAATCACTCAGCAGGCTGAGGATTACACCTTCTAGTACTTACCTATTAACTATCTGGTGGAAGCCATGTGTGCATATTTAAAGGCCTGCAGATGAGACTTCTCTTTCTTGGCCACTATACAACTGGGAATGGAACAACAAAGTATTTTTTAACTCAGCAGACTAACATGCTACTGGCATAGATAGATTGAAGAAGAGACAAAAACAGTGAAGAGGTGAACTCTTTTTTTTTAACTCAAGAATTATTTCCAAGTACTTATCATGATTTGCATCCCTAAAGCCTTACTTATTTCTCAACATTTCAATACGACCTGTCCAATAGTCCCAACATTCAAAAATAGTTTAAAGAATAAGTAGTGAAGAATAATTGAAATTAAAATTTTATTTAATTATAAGGCTCAAAGAAATAATGAATATTTATCTGTGCCTTTTCTTCCCCTTCTAGAAAAGATTAATTCTATCTCAAAATGATAGCTTTAAAAGTACGTACAAACACATGTATGAAAATGGAAAAATGAGACCTGCTGAAACTATTCCAGGAATGGGGGGAGGGAGGATAAAGGAGAATGACGGAGGGGATGAATTCAACTATGACATATTTGATATATTGAAAGAACTTTTGTAAATGTGACAATGTACTCCCAGTACAACAATTAAAAATTAAGCTACATTAAAAAAATAAAAATAAATAAAGTTAAAGCACATACAAACTCGACTTTGGCTTTGATCTCTTGAATTATAGGAAAGGAGTATATCTAAGCAAAAAATTTAACCTGTTTTGATGACAGCATACTAAATAAGCATATTTTTTATCCCAGGTATTTACACAGAGTGATAACAAATGTTCAAAAGTGGTGGAGAAGTTATGTAGGCAGAAAACATTATTATTTTGCTGTTCAGGTATGTATAAAATGTATATACATATGTTAGCATTTAAATTATACAATATACTCTAACTTATTCACTTTGGTTGTATTTAGAAGTTGCTGGTAATATTTATATAAGGTCTGTTATGGTTTGGATATGAAATATCTCCCAAAATGGCTCATGTACTGAAGGCTTGGGTCCCAACTGATGGCAGTATTTTGGGAGCTTCTGGAAAATTTAGGAGTTGGAGCCTAGCTGAAGCAGTATGTCACTGAGAGTATGCCCTGGGAAGACTATATCTTATCTCAGCATTCTCTCTCTCTCTATATCTTATCTCAGCATTCTCTCTCCTCTCTTTTTCTCCCTCTCTCCCTCTCTCTCTCTCTCTCTCTCTCTCTCTCTCTCTCTCTGCTTTCTTTTTCTCCCCCTCCCTCCTTCTCTGCTTCCTGGTCACTAACTTGGCTCCTCCATGTCCTCCCACCATAATGGTCAGCCCACCAGGACCAGAAATGGAGCTGGCTGACCATGGATTGAAACTGTGAGCCAAAGTAAATCCTTCCTCTTTCATTTGTTTTCTTGGGTTTGATCACAAAGTATCTGACTAACACAGGGCTAAAACTTAATCTTTGGTAAGGAGCCTCTTCTGAGAAGCCTTTCCTGAGACCATTAACTAACTTCTTGGTGCTTAAACTACAGTAGATATTTTAATTTTGTTTAAAATGCCTTTCATGATATATGCATATATATATTTATTTGTCAGTGATTATCTGTCTTTCTAGATGGTGAAGTCTTTGCAAGTATGTACTGTAGATTGTTCATTTTTGAATCACCAACATTTTAGCTAATGCCTAGGAACACTTAACAGTCAGTAAACATCTTATAAAGATACGAAATTGGTAGAAACAAACAATGAGCCTTTCTTCATAATTGCTACAGGACTTTCTACTAAATTTTGTTGTACAGGTGTAAATAAGATTTAAATAAATAAGTAATAGTTCCAAAGTGGATGAAAAGTTACAAATATTTATGAATATATTACTAGCATATTTGTAATTAATGTCATTAGAAAGCAACAAAACATTACATGTGCCTTTGTACTAGTCATTGATAATTCAGTACCTGCTATTTGACAGCATTTTGCATAGACTTTTCAATTTATCTATCATGATGCTTACTGAAAGTTAACTATTATGATACCCATTCAGCTAGTTAGGAAACTAAAGCTCATTCACTTGCCCATGTGTATGTTGTGCCATATTTCATTTACATAGCAACATTACAATTGTTACAAATCTTTTCACATTGTGTGACAATTGCTAATTGCTACCATTTTCTGCTTGGCCTTCAAGACCAGAGATTGTGTGTCATTACTGTTGTATTCTCCTGCTATGGTGCCTGGCACCTAGTGGGCATTTAATTATTGTAAGAAGAATGAATACTAGTATTATTTTTATGATGTTATTGACACTTCCTTTATCAGATAGAAGATAAAAATTGAACCAAATCTGTCATTAGTCTGAGTCTATAGCATGTCTTACTTTTTTCCTCTGTCTTGACTTGATTTTGGTTAAAAGCCTAATGTAAATGTAAGTGTTTCAACTCAGAAATCAAAAGGCTCTATGTCTGTTTTTTCTTAACATTTTAGAACATTTTGAATAATTTGAGACAGCTGTAGAACCAATACCCCTTATCTCTAAATATATCGGTGCCTATTTTCTAAGTAATCATAGTATAATTATAAAAGTCAGGAAATTGATATGTGTACAAATCTATCTTCTGATCTAAATACTATTGATATTTTATTGATTGTACCAATAATATTATGGCAAAAACATATTTTCCATGGTACAAACTAGAATTTCACATTGCACTTAGTTGTTAGGTCTCTTTAGTATTTTTTAAACAAGAACCATTAATTCAGTAGTCTCTCTTTTCATTTTGTGTCCTGGATATTTTTAGTTTTATTGATTGATTGATTGATTGATTTAATCTATTGATTGATTGATTGATTAATGGTATAGAGGATGGAATCAGGCCTTGTGTAGGCTATCAAGCATTCTACAAGAATTATATCCCTGGCCTCATTTCCCTAGTATTTTTGTAATAGGGTAGTTATTTTTCAGATTATTTCTCACTTTTGGTTTTCTCATGGTTCTTCACTATCAGACAGAGGTTATGCCTTGAATCAAAAATACATCTCGAGGCATCATATTAGGAGGCACAATTATGTAACTTTGTCCAATTATTTTAAAAAAATTTTTTTATTTCTTTATTGTTGTTCTGGATGGGGGTACATTGTGACATTTACCAAAGTTCTTATATCATACTTGAATTCGTCCCCTCACCATTCTTCTTTATCCCCCCATTCCCCATTTCTAGAATAGTTTCAACAGGTATAATTTTTCCATTTATATACATGTGTACACAGTATTCTCATTGATTGTTCATGTTAACTTTGACTATTTAAAATGGTGTCTCTCAGGTTTCTTCATCATAAATATAACTATTTTTCTCTCATGAGGCAGACTCCATATGTATCTTCTTCCTCATCAAACTGTGCTATACTAGGTTTAACATCCAAGTTCATTCTCTGGGGACTCTGACTTCTGGGCCACAAAAAGGGAATGGAAAATTTTTACCAGAGCTAGTATAGAATTCTTAGAGTCCAGTCTCCTCTACAAATGCCATGAAACTTACCCTTGTCACCTCCTAGGAGCAAAAATACTATACTTTTTCATTTCAAAAGATTAATTCCCAGCTCTTTCTCAGGTATGTGGATTCTTTGATCCTTTCCTCATTTTTCTACTAACACCATGTCATTTACTAACCTAACCCCTACTCTCCAGCATAATGTCAGAACTGATGTTTTAGGAAAACAAAGCTAAGGATAGATAATCATGCCCAAAGCAGGAGTGTGTGAAAGTGGGGGACAGGAGAGGAGATAGTTAAGGCTAGGCTAGGAAAATTCCAGGCTGGGAGTGAAGATGGGCCACCTGCAAGAGCCCTGGTGCCAGAAGAAAGACTCTTCACTCAAGAGAAAAACTACAGGTGTATATTCCTTGGTTTTTGTTTCATTTTTGTAAGTTGTGACACTTCTGTGAGTCAGGCACAGACAGATTAAGAATTTCTCTCTCTTCAGTTTTGGCCAAAGTTGTAAATAAATTCATTTTTCCATTTGTATACATATTATGTTCCTTTCTTTTAATATGACCTGGCTTTCATTTTGGATCCAGAGCCTGGTCTTATGGCCAGGCCTCCAGTATCAAAATGACCTGATGTTTTCTTTTTTTTTGACCTGATATTTTCTTGGATGGAAGAATGGAACATGAGTTGAGGATACTGTGAGACTCTCCATTAATTACCCTGTCTTACACACACAGTCTCACATTTTGTCATAGAATAATTTTTAAGAGATCACCATTTGCCAGATTTGTCTGTTCATTTTTTTAGGCCAACAGTTGTATACAATAATAATAATTCTATATAGTACATGGTTACAATATAGAAAGAGTGGTTCAAGATAGTGATTGTAAATTGTCAATATAGAATCCCTCTTTTAATGAAAAGCTTCACAGTATTTTTAGCTGTATATGTAAAACAGGTGTATGCTATGAAGCTATTTTGGAAGCTAGAGAAATACGACTGTTGAGATTCCTTTTCTGTGACCTCTATTGTCACCTGAGCCACCAGAGCATGATTTGAAAGCCACTGATTTAATTTGCTTGTCTCTGGAAGGATCTCTGGAAGAATCACAAAGAAACTAATGATGTTAATTGCCTTCAGGGAGGAGAAATGAGTAGTTGAGGAGTAGGGGTGGGAAGGAGGCTTTTCATTGTAAAGTCTTGTGTGCTTTTGAATTTTGAATAATGTGAATACATTATCTAGCAAATAAATTAATTTAAAAAGTCAACTTAAAATAAACTTCCCCCATCAAGCACACACACACGCACACGCACACACACAAAAGTGCATACCACATACACATACACAGAGGTGGATAATAAGTGAACTCCTGAGGACTTAAGGTAGTATCTAAATATCAAGGAAAGGATACTTGAGTTGAGCCTTGTTGGAAACAGCACGGATGAAGTTTTGAATTTGGGAATGAGCTTGGCATACTGAGAAACGTTGAGTACAATGAGGATGTTGACCCACATGACACAGAGTTTGGAGAAGAGCAGAAAGGTGGGTTAGGAGGTATGGGCAACCTACATAAAATAAGTTCCTGTGTTTTTCGAAGAACTTTTTGGTTAAAAGCATTTTTTTGTATCCTTATTTTCCTATTGGTGTTTTGTCAAGTAAAATGTACAGACGGTATCTTCCTTCATTCTATAGATGAAGAAATGAGGGCCTCGGGCACAATATGATGTGTCTAGGTTCCCCAGCTTCTGATCCAACACATGCTAAGTACTGAATACCTTCAGAATGTCTTTCAAGTACTCCAAATCTGCTTCTATGAGCCAGAATAGGTTATGTTCTTTCAACATTATTTACCTCTCACCTGTTCCCCATCCCATTGATTTTGGGCTTGCCCACAGGTTGTGAGTTGATGATACATGTGTCAGCATATGAACGGCATACCTTGCATCTGAGCTGTTCCTTCAGCCTAGAGTCATGTGTAACATGGCTACAGTGAGCCTTAGCTTGTATGTCATGAAAGTGAGAAATAAACTTTTTGATTTGCAACCTACTGAAATGTATTTTTTATCTCAGCAAAACTGATTAATATTTACCATGATAACAAAAGCAAGTATGTTCATAAGAAGTACTCTGAATGGGAATACTTCGTGGGGTTTACCAAACTACATTTTGAGCTTTTTGAGTTTGTGATGATAGGACACCTCCATGTGGTGATAATCTTGTAAAGCATTGCTGCAGAATGTCTGGTGCATCATAATTATCCTTCTACAAATGTTTGTTAAACTGAGCTGTTGGGTAGGAACTTAGAGTAAGTATCAGAGCTGGAGAAAAGATTTTATAGTCCTTGTTACAAGATGAAATGATTTTCTATCTAATTAAAAAGGTATCTGAAG